TCCCACCTTGAATTTGAGTGAGGTATGGAACGGTGTGCAGACACACTCTGCTACCTCCTGCAATTTTTCATTCAGGTTGACTATAAAGCAATGGAGCCTGGGAAGTCTTGACAAGTTAATAGCCACAGTGACAGTGATTCTTTCAAATGCTTCAGGATGGCTACCATTTCTACCACAACAGTGACAGAGTTATCTAGGGAAATGCCTCACTGGGGTCTCCACTTGCAAGAACAGAAGAGCTCAAACAATTAACTGAGCATCCCACTCTCTCATAATTTAACAGTGGCAGCAATTTTCTCTTTACAGAAAAGTTCTTTGAGAATTTTTTGTCAGACATGGACAAATTCAAAGTATTTCCAAGGATTTCTGAGGAAAATAGTCTGGCAGACACTGCTATCAACTCTTGGTAGCACTTCATTATGATCTTTTACCTTTACCTCTTGGTTATATGGTCTATGCACTCCTTTCTATGCATCCACTGTGATCTCCACCAGGCCAACATAAAGAGAAGAGACAGGGAGAATGCAGGGTACAGATGTCTCATGTCAAATTCAGCTGTGTCAGCTGTTTTCAATACTTTATGTTCTTGATGATGAGTGGCATCAGCCATACCATCTGTTTAACCAGATTCTGGTTCCAGTCAATTCACTTTTGCACTGAAAAGCAGACAACCTGATTTAGCAGAGTTGCCCTACTATCTCTGTTGCTACTTGTCATCTCCCTGATAGAATTTTTAGGTTATTTTGAGAATTAAAACTGAATGGGATGAATCTGCCTCTCAGAATGCAATTCGTTAACTAGAATAGATAAATAGTAAGTCTTGTTTGCTTGAATTTGAACCATGTGTCTCTTGAAGGTCCCAAACATGCAAAGAATACACATTCTATTTTAAACTCACCACCATTTGGACAAGAAAAGGTTCCTGTCCAATGAACTCTTGTGCCACTGTGGTTTAAGAGAGAAAGCTGGTCAAGTCTCTGAGCCATTTCTAACCTACTGCTCTGGCTTTAAATTTTTAGAATGTCAGCAAAAGAGGAGCCCTGAAGATACACAAAGGGGTACCTCCAAATGATGCCTCACATCTCCTTGGTTTGTCAGTATGGGTACAGATTTGAATGCTGAAAAGATGGAGGATCAAAAGTTCTCCTAGAGCTGTTCTGCTTAAATAGTGGCAACATGCCCCGGGAGCATTTGTTCTAAAAACAAAAAGCACCACCAGTGTTACAAAAATGCATAGAAAAATAGAATTTGCTTCAAATACTTTATGTGCTTAACTTTTAGGTTCAGATTTAATACCATTCATTACTTCTTATGTTAGCCCAGTGTCTAAGAGTTACAGCCACAAATGAAGATTCAGCTGATCAAAATTTCATATTAGCAGTGATTGAAAAGATGCCTAGCCAAAACAACTACAGCCTAAATACAAGTGACAATGGGCAGATAAGGATACCTGGGGGAAAGCTAGGAAACAATAAGACAGCATCAGTCAGCAGGAGCAACTGTAGAAAAAATGACAGTGTTTCCACTAGTTAATAATTATCATATGAAAGATCTAACTCCCAAACAAAAATTTACTCTGCTGAACACATATATTTTTACTGTTAATATGCTACTACTGTTAGCATTGCTATTTATTTTGTCACACTGCCTCCATCAGAGCTTGAAAAATACCTTGCCAACTTGTCTGTGGTTTATCATGAGTTAAGGTAACGCAGAGGAGATAACATAAAGTGTGCAATGGATTTCCATATTCACTAAGGAAGGTGTGAGCTGACTGGGTCACTGTGACACTGCCAGGAACTAGGTATCACTGCACCCATCTAATGCACTTAAATGAAAAAAAATCTGAGATAATTAACACTGGCAAAGATTTCAAATACATAGCATCAAAATTGACCAATTTCCCTGGTGAAAGTGTGTACAGCTGCCATAAAGCATACAGAAGACCATGCATGACAACAGATCCCTTGCAGCTGAGAGCTGAAGTTAATTGCACCATTAACTGAATAAAACTTCACCAGCTGGACACATTAAGAAAAAGGGAGTCTGCAAATACACGTAGACACCTACAAGCCAAATGCAGCTGTGAACCAACAATCTGCAAGCTAACAGGGAAGGCTGATCGCTCCC